TTTTTTTCAAAAGGACTCTGGCTCCAAGTATGTTTTTCGAAAAAGCACGCGTTTTAGCGAGCAAAACGAGCAAAAACTGAACCTGAGAAAATAGATACGTGAAGAATCATTGACCTTTTCCTCGAAAATGTAAAAACAATGCCAAAAGTTATATTGAATGCGGTGAGCTTTCGGCTACAAGCCTTCGTCAAACCAACAAAATGACACAATACAAGATTCAAAATTCATGTCCACATGCAACACTCTAGAACTGAATTTTTTAAACTGCCATTGTCGATACTCGTGCCTGTTTATGGAACAAACCTATCACTCCGCTAAAATCCAAGTAGACATAATGGTATGCAACAACATGTGATAAAGATAGTGATGCACCAAACACATGATCTCAGATGTCACATATCGACTACCAGGCGACGGGGACCGTCGGCATACAATCACATGATAGGCCATACAATCACATCAGATTGATTGATAGGCCGTACAAACACACGGATACCTAGGCATACAATCACATGATAGGCCAAGAAGTATGTAATTGTGTTTCTTTAATATATCTATTCTCGCTATGTTCCTCGCTCAAGCACTTCACACCATTAATTTCATTGAACCTGAGAAACTCGAACGTCGCCTTATTTTAACATGTGAAGTATTCCCGATAATTTCCATACGTTCGTTTTGGAGCCAGATATGAGAACAGTGGTGACGTCATGCTGTCGAACTTGTATTGCAATGTAACGTATAACGATCATGGACGAAACCGCTTACTCGATTATAACCTCGGCAACAGTGTAAAACGAAGTCTCCCCCAAATTCGTCGAAACTTTGTCCCATCGTACGGACATTGGGTGCCTGCTGCCACCAGTGACGTCATCATAGTATGCTAATTTTTCAAGACACAACTTCCGGGTACTTACCTTGCACAATTTGAAATCGGATATTTTTTCGGTAAGAAATTCTTGGCCAGACGCTGAAGATGCCAAAACTCACGTGAGAGCTTCGATAATGCACTTGGAGCCAGCGTCCTTTTGAAAAAAAAAAAACGAACTATAGCTATTGATTTGTTTAGCAAACAGCGCAGTAGCTTGCAAGTTGCAGCATAAATTTGAAAATGGATCTGAGATATGGTCGCACGGAATGGATCCTGATCTCGGATCCGATTGGATCATAGATCCAGCTCGTTAATTTATCTAGAGATCCGTAGAGACCATAGATCCGAGTCTAATTTTTTGCTTGAGATCCAGTGAGATCAAAGATCCTCACTTATTTTTTTGTCAGCACAAAAATCCCCAAAATTCATTTTTTGCAACTCACCGACGTTCTGTTTCAGTGATTTTATGTGAAGTCATACATAATCCATAGATTTGTGGCACCTATTGAGTTATTGACATAGATAGAAACACGTGGAAACCTTATTTGAAATGTTGTGCATGGTAGGATACGCTCAGATCATAGATGACATAGATCCATGTTCTTGGTTTATCATCAGATCCCGTAATATCATAGATCCAGGATAAATTTTCACGCCGGATGCGGTGGGATCATAGGTCCTAACCTGCATTTTGTTTCGACATTCACTGAGATCATAGATCCACCACTCGGATCCATGCACATGTCTGCAGGTGGGCGTTTAGGATTACTGCTCGTTTTTGGCAAAATGGCGATGACAAAATGTGTATTGCTATTTGTTTGGCTCGCGAATGTGCGTGTATGATATGGATATAATGTACATGATATGACATGGATGAATGATCCGATTCCGGTGGATCAGCACCAAGCACCATTTACCCTTATTACGGAGCGAGCGAAGCGAGCGTAGTCTTTCCTTAGATTAACGGAAATTTCTGAGTATGAGCGGCCGGCCGGCCGGCTGGCCGGCCGTGGTCACGATTCTGCGACGCTTATATCTCAGCAACCACTTGACCGATTTACACGCGGTAATTTTTGTAAGGTAGCTTCATTCCTTCTACCAGTGGCGGATCCAGGGGGGGGCTGCGGGGGCTGGCAGCCCCCACCCAAGGAAAACTGGCGCCACTGCGCCGAAGGCGCAGTGGCGCCAATTTTCAATTCGCAACTCATCGGAGTGCCGCATACTAGGACTAGGATGCAAAAATCAGTCGAATAACGTCGTTTCAGTACGCTCCGCACCGATATTTCCAATCGTGTGGTGTCACTGTACATACATACTGATCCTGGGCGCCTCTTGTCAGGGCCACTGGGCGCCAATATTTCAGCGCCAATACGATGCGACTATGGCGCCCATCCGGGGCGTGGCGCCCAATTATGACCTGCAGCCCCTCCCCAGTGAAAATCCTGGATCCGCCACTGCCTTCTACCAAGTATTGGACTGTTCCCGATGCATGTGGGTGACCCCTTATGCACGTGCCACGTGCAAAACGAAGAGGTGTCACTTTTGTAATTGTTGCAATATCTCGGTAACTACTTTGCCGATTGCGCTGAAAGTTGGCATGTAGGTAGGCACCCACTAGGCAATGCATATCCATGTGCCAGAATTGGGGTGATGCTGCACGTGCGCACGTGCAGGGGTCGATTCCAGATCTCGAGAACGGCTGGACCGATGGCGCTCAAATTTGGCACATAGTTAGGGACCAGTTAGTAGGGTGCCGTGCAAAAGTCATTTGGGACCCATTTTGCACGTGCGCACGTGCAGGGTGCCGCTTCCAGATCTCGAGAACGGCTGGGCCGATTGTGCTCAAATTTGGCACATCGCTAGAGACCGGTTAGTAGGGTGCCGTGCACAAGTCAGCTGGAGGTACCCCGTCGAAATTTCGCACGTGCAAGGCTCACCCTCTCGCTCGCTCCGTTAGTCGCCCCAAAAGGCGTTATACTGGTTACGGAGCGAGCGAAGCGAGCGTAGTCTTTCCTTAGATTAACGGAAATTTCTGAGTATGAGCGGCCGGCCGGCCGGCCGTGGTCACGCTTTTGCGAGGCTTATATCTCAGCAACCACTTGACCGATTTACACGCGGTAATTTTTGTAGGGTAGCTTCATTCCTTCTACCAAGTATTGGACTATTCCTGATGCATGTAGGTGACCCCTTATGCACGTGCCACGTGCAAAAAGAAGAGGTGTCCGTTTGGTAATTGTTGCAATATCTCGGTAACTACTTGGCCGATTGCGCTGAAAGTTGGCATGTAGGTAGGCACCCACTTGGCACTGCATATCCAGGTGCCAGAGTTGGGGTGCTGCTGCGCGTGCGCACGTGCAGGGGTCGTTTCCAGATTTCGAGAACGGCTCGACCGATTGCGCTCAAATTTGGTACACAGTTAGGGACCGGTTAGTAGGGTGCCGTGCACAAGTCAGTTGGGACCCATTTTGCACGTGCGCACGTGCAGGGTGCCGCTTCCAGATTTCGAGAACGGCTGGGCCGATTGTGCCCAAATTTGGCACGTCGCTAGAGACCGGTTAGTAGGGTGCCGTGCACAAGTCAGTTGGAGGTACCCCCTCGCAATTTCGCACGTGCAAGGCCCACCCTCTCGCTCGCTCCGTTAGTCGCCCCAAAAGGCGTTATACTGGTTTAGTTTCCAATGAATTCGTTACCGCCAAGAGTGGAAATGGAAAACGCAATACGTTCGGCATGTTATTTGGTTTCATTATGGAGGATTTGAGGGTTATGTTTCCCTCTTAAAAATGTAGGCATGCGCATGCCCAGTCCTTTTGTGTAACTTTCAAACACATGGGCAGATAAATTAGATTTCCCGAAAGCAGCCCGACGGTACAGACTGCGTGATTCGTGTCGCTGGTTCTGTCTATGCCTGCGACATCTATATTGACATGCTTAGAGTTCATTTAGCGTCTCTCGCTGAGTGCTGCACGATTATAGATTGCTCGAATCAAGCTTCAATGTCTGGAAGGCAGCTTTCTATTAATATTGACACATCAATATGTGCTTTCAATCCTGTAAACGACCAAAGATGTATTATTGATTAATAAAAGATTTAAGACCCTGTGACCGCGATGTTGAAACGTATCTGTTCCTTAAATGCACATTTGATTCAAATAAGGTTAAATTGATACTAGTTCTGAGAGGCATCATTTAGAGAGAGAGAGAGAGAGAGAGAGAGAGAGAGAGAGAGAGAGAGAGAGAGAGAGAGAGAGAGAGAGAGAGAGAGAGAGAGAGAGAGAGAGAGAGGGAGAGAGAGAGAGCTTCCGCTTACTCTGTGACCCTACTTACCTTACCCCCTGTCGACAAACAACAAGCATTACAAAGCTAATAATCATCCCAGTGTTTATTAATTTGTGAATTGTGCTCACCCAGGCCATATCATCACCATCAGCAGCAGCAGCAGGAGCAGCAGCAGCAGCAGCAGCAGCAGCAGCATGCTTATTCCGCGACACATTTGGTGACAATGTAGAACAGCACATAGATCAGATCGCTAATGGTCTAATATTTATCTCATCGCTGAAGAATTTTGTGAAAGTCGGCTTATACGGACCATGCGGCGCAAGCGACCAATGTCTACGATGCGACCATACGATCAATCGCTAACAACTACTTCAACATCCATGCGATCCTATGCTGCTTCTTCAACTTCTGTTGACGGTATCTATGGGGTTTATCAGATGTGCAGTGAAAATAGGACAAAAACGAATGTGACGAACGTGGAGCGCCCCATGTCATGTTTTGCGCTTCATTTAGAAACACAATGCGGTATTATGATATTTACAGTGGCGGATCCAGGGGGGGGGCAAAATGGGCATTTGCCCCCCCCCCCCCCAAACGGCATGATTTTAACATTACGCCTATGGACGATGCATGGAAAGAATCGATAAATTGTTATGGTTTGCCCCCCCCCCCCAAAAAAAAAAACTCTGAGCTGAATCCGCCTCTGGATATTTATACTATAAGTTGTGAGCTGTACCTACCTACCTAAGTAATATCAACTCGTACAACAAGTAAGTTTAAACGGCTGTTGCTAAATATCGATTATCTCATAGAACACCACTGCTGACAAATAAGGCATGCTCATTGTTCATCTTACCGTTTTGTCTCTCGGCCTCCGAGGTGGTCTCGGCTTTCTCGGCGTCCTCCATGGCTGGCCGGCGGTGTTCAAATGTCGCCACGTCGCCCAAGTCGGTCACTCCTCAGCTTTATACAAGATGTCTTTGCCGTCTCCTTGTCACCGACTTCTCACGGCTTTGGTGTGATCTTATATTGGCGGGGGCGCAGCGTTTGTCTCAGGGACCCAGGAAAATTCCTGTAGCTAGATGCACTACTTTTGAGTAATATTGTAAGGCCCAAACTTTATTTAGGTGGAAAATCTGAGAAAATTTTGTCGGAATCGAGCCGTAGCCGGAGATGCCGCCAGCGAACTGCACCGAATCATAGATTCTCACGGCGGCCGGCGACACCGCGAAAATCAGCGGCTCTGATTGGCCGGTGGGAGGGATTATCCGGCCGGCGGCGGCCGCTGATTGGCTGCTGGTCGGCGGTCGAACGTCAAATGTTCCGCGGGCCGGCCCCGCCGCCGAGAGAGCCCGGCCATGTAGCTGAGATTGTGGGGATCGGGAGCAGCCCTCTGGGAGACGACGGCTATCAAATGGACCATCGACACAGCGCGGCAATCTCCGCCAGTTGCGGTGCTCAACAGCCGACATGGCCGGCCGCCGGCGCCGCCGCTGCAGCCCACAAACGCTGATGGCTGACGGACCGAGGTGGTCGCCGGTCGGCAGAGAGCTGGGTGAAGGCAGAAATCTGGTTGGGATCATGTGATAATGCACAATGCACATGCTACATATGTAGCTTGATGAAAATGAATAAAAAATTAATAGAAATAGATACAAAGAAAATGAATAAAAAAATAGAGACATGCTTTGAAGTTTGACGTCATTAACGAATCAGGATAAAACCTGCTCCATGAGACGGAAAATTCGAATTGTAAGGTGGGTGAAGGTTTTTTATTCATGCTAGCTGCTCCGATGCCACTGGGCACTGAGCTTTGACCACTGAGTTACGTTTACAATGTTTCGGTCTTTTACAGAATGCCGTCATAACGTAGGTAGGTATGTTATATTAGGCGAGCGGGAACAGCCAGGAAATTTCTGAGAGAGTTATTGTATTGATTGCGTTAAGTATAGTTAGGTAGGCATGTGTTATATTATCATTTGTTGTTGTATGGTATTTGTTAACCCGCGCCCCAGTGGCAGTCTCCGCCAACTTCGCCCTAGTGGGGGGGGGGCATATGTTACCACCCACCTCTAACTCAAAAACTAAGAGGGCTAGAAAGACGCAGTAAAAAGCAGTCGATAGCTCTCAATGCGTACGTTTGAAAGTATTTCGGTCATTTTCACCTTAGAGCAATATTGGGGTCACCAGAGGTCATCAAAGGTCAAAATTTGCCAATTGTCATTATATTTTTCAGAAAACATGCCGCTATCTCAGGAACTATGGTAGCTAGAAAACGCATTGAAGAGCAGTCGATAGCTTTTGAACTCTTCTTTTGAAAAGATCATTATCAATATTGACCTCAGGTCAACGGTTTAGCCTCCAGAGGGCAAAAACTCCAAAAATAGCTGTTTTTTCGAAAAGTGTTTTTCGACAATAACTTTCGACTACAAGAAGCCACGACATTTCTATTGCCAGAATCGTGTTCCCCTCGCCGAGACGCGTCGAATGAATTATAATTTGACCTTGAAAAGTCAACTTGAAAATTTGACCTCTGGTCAAGGTGACCGGAACCTGACCGGAAAAGGTCATGTTGCATATCAGTCGATGTGTCTCAACAAGACAAACACAATGAGACCATTCCCAGCTTTCTATCTCTTTCCAATCGCGAGTTATTGGCAAAAAACTGTTTGTAGCCTCAAATGACCTCGGATGACCTTTCTAGAGGCTATCAGCCAAAATGACACCTTGGTCATCACGAGTGGACTAAATCATTGTGATTCTGAAATATTTGGACTGTTCCTATGCGTACACACGGATCTAGAGGCATTTTCATTTTTCTCCGTTGACTTGTAATGGAAAGGTCACGCCACTGACCTGACCTTAGGTCACGGATATAAAAATCCGAGATATACAAATTGTAGGCGCCCATAACAGCATGCAATCCACCAAGTTTAAAACCTTTCTGACAAACACTGCAGGCTGGACATGATTGCAAACTTTTTTAGGCTCGGTCAGTTAACTTGACCTGGTGACCTGACCTGACATGACCTGGGGTAAAAAATTTCACACATTGTCCAAAATTGATGTACCAAAAGCTACCCCAAGGGGCGCGGCGCTGCGCACCGCGGTTTTTTATTCACACGCAAAAAAACGCGACAGGGTGGTAACATATGCCCCCCCCCCCCCACTGGGGCGAAGATTAAAGGCTATTGTTACGCTGTGATCCGTCGAGCTTTTACCATCCTAGGACCCATAGTGGTTGAAGTCAGCAGCGGCTATGAGCTAGCCTTATAACATCATATGATCCATCAACTGTGAGCATTCCGTTAACACTGGCACGTCGAAGGAGAGGACCATTTTAGCAACTGTTCCTCACGTAACGTCTGAACTTGCTTGACATTTCAACTTGATGACATTTGCTCGTTTTCCTCTCAAAGAAGGAAAAAAAACTTATTTCAGATATAATTTGCTTTTGCCTGCTCGTGCTCAGCGAAACATGAGAAAGTAAGATCCGAGAATTTGTATAATTGGCAGAGCTGGGCGCGTTCCTCGATTTTCGGTAGTGCGTTAGCGTTCCTGCGTTCCTCCGGCCGCGGTTAGTGCGTTCCTGGAATAGCGTTCCTCAATTTTTTTTCGCTCGGTGCGTTAGCGTTCCTGCGTTCCTGCGTCCCAAACTATTAACCCGTATTGTATTCTGGCTCTACCAAGCAGCAAATCTTACCAAAATCAGTGCAACGCAACACTGTAGCGGACAAAGTAGGCAAATCGCGCCAGTCCAACACTACAGGCGTGTTCTTCACAACCGAAGTCGTGGACAAAGAAATACCGCCGAACCACGCGGCGCGGGCCCAACCAAACACGGGGCGAATCGATCACAGAATACCCAGAATGACCCAGAATGGCGACGCGGGGCCGAAAAGCAACTCGACATCTCTTTTCCGAATCGAATATCTGAAATACGTTTTACCAATATCATCCGTAGGGTTTTCAACAAAAATACGACCTGGTTAAAAACAATAGTTAAGTTGAAAGATGTATCTAAGTAAAAGTTATCATATTTACTTTACACATTTAATGCCTGAAACCGAATCGAATAGTGAACATCACCACTAAATCTAAACAAGCCTTCCTCGATTCGACCGACAAGTGGCGCCTCTACCGGCAAACACACGTATTCGAGATTCAAACATTCGACACAGAGGTCATTGGCAGCAATATGATTTTTCGGGTGGTTCCGCAAGAACGCAGGAACGCTTCAAAATTTCGGGTGGTGCGTTCCTCTTACTTGCGTTCCTTTGAAAAACTTTGCGTTCCTGCGTTCTTGCGTTCCTAAAAAGGGCGGTGCGTACGTACGGAAGAACGCAGGAACGCACTAAAGGAACGCACTTGCCCAGCTCTGATAATTGGAGAACCTTTTTGAGGAGTATGCTCCCTTCAGCGTTTGCATTTTGCGATTCGTTGCTTGCGATAGACTCCGTGGCGTTAGAGCCATGATCATGGACCTGCAGCTTATCGACACTAAAATAACTCAAGGAAATGATAGAACGCAATCAGCGCAGATGCCCTGCAATATTCCAATAGCTATTGAAGAAGATTGACTTCGAACGATCATCGAATCGTTCGATCATCAAACGAAGTGTGTGGGCATTCTCGTTTATTTTCACGTTTCTGACTTTGCTTACCTATTTCTGTTTCGTCTCGTCGAAGAAATTAACGTTGGATAGAAAAAGGAAATCGGTGTGTTTTAAAATGGCTCTTGTTCATGCAGTTAATCTATAACGATGCTTACTTCTGTAAAATTTTTCAACTGTGCTTAAAAAACAACGATGCGTCAGAGAATGCAAAGAAAAAGGCATCGCGTATGAAGCTGTACATACATGTCCAATTCCATGCCTAAGTATAATGTCACTCAGCGGTGGCTACTACCAGCTGCAGAAGTGATATCTCGCTGCATTCACTAGCATACCGTCATTACAGACCCGTTCAACCAGATGCTCTAAAGAGCAACAATGCAGCTCCATGGTTCTGACTGCAGCAGTTACTATGCCACTCTGTCCACCCCACCCCCTCTCGCTCCCCCCATCGTCTGCGGAAGACGGCCGGTAGTTACCCGTCGCGTCGTCCTGATGGGATATGTGGGAGGATAATGGGTCCACAACCCACCTCCTAATGACCGTGCAGTCGTCGCTGCCTCCACCGCTATAGCCGCCGGCTGACGGCTGCTCCTGACGGCCACTGTACTGAGGTGGGGCTATCTCAATGTCACACCTATGGTAAGTACCACAAAGAGAGAGAGAGAGAGAGAGAGAGAGAGAGAGAGAGAGAGAGAGAGAGAGAGAGAGAGAGAGAGAGAGAGAGAGAGAGAGAGAGAGAGAGAGAGAGAGAGAGAGAGAGAGAGAGAGAGAGAGAGAGAGAGAGAGAGAGAGAGAGAGAGAGAGAGAGAGAGAGAGAGAGAGAGAGAGAGAGAGAGAGAGAGAGAGAGAGAGAGAGAGAGAGAGAGAGAGAGAGAGAGAGAGAGAGAGAGAGAGAGAGAGAGAGAGAGAGAGAGAGAGAGAGAGAGAGAGAGAGAGAGAGAGAGAGAGGAGGAAAAAGAGACATGATTTTTTTCGAGAGGGAAGCTGCGAACTTCTGTAACTTCACAGGAGTAAATAATAATAATATTTCAATTTAATTAATAATTCCACCTGGACTGAGGATTCGCCACTGCCCAGTGCCCGCCTTGCATGGCTGCGGCGGACTTTCGTCAACCGATGCGTGGCCGCCTGAAAGTAAACTGTTCCGCAGCGCACGCTGGAGCTGCGGGACAGTATAACTTGCAGTGCTGCTGGTAGGTATATGACAGATGCCCACCTGTCCGTCAAGACAGCCCCCACTCATTGTGTTGAGCTGGTAGCCGGCGGGATAGTCGGCGCTGTCCTCATTGCTCGTCATCTGGTCATAGGGGAGACACGACAACACCTGCTTTTGGTTGTGGAAAGTTTGTGCATAAGAGGTGCACTTAAATTCGTTATGCTCTCTTTTTCCCAGTTTCCAAATCCTCGTACTTTTATTTGGCAGCAAACTCATTCATAGACCCGGGAACAGGGGGGGCAGCGGGGGCGCTTGCCCCCCCAACTTGGGAGCCGAGGGGGCGGCGCCCCCTCAACATCGAGGCAGCGAGAAAAGGTCTTTCCTCCCTTTTCCGGACTTCTTTCCTTCTTGTTTCCTTTATACATCTAAACATCAACACACGGCATTTTCCTTGCCATCTGAATGGTTTCTGCTGATACAGTATCGATTTGACATCTGCTATTGTCATCCCGCTTTGATTTGGGCCTGACCTTGGCCATAAGCTTGGCAGACCAGTTTTATACTGGACCATTTTGAGTCAACTTTGAGAAATGCATAACGTACAACGGTGGTAAAATCGTTGCTATAGGTACTCGTATAACACAGTTTACCCCTCCGGGTGTGAGGGAGGGGTGTGGGCCGGGCAATGAGTGCACTGACGTGGCGCCCTCGGTATGGGATGGGATGCATGGGATACATTAGAGGGCCGGTATGGGATTAAAGCTCAGCGACACTTAGGGCTTATGTGGTGCCTTCCGTTATCGGCAGCACCCTCAGAATCACCGGCGTAGGGCCCTCAGAGCCGCCGGTAAGGGGCCTTTAGAGGCACCGGTGTGGGGCCGTTATGCAGGTGCCGGTGTGGGCGCTCAGAGGTGCTAGTGTGATTCTCTCAGAGGCGCCGATGAGGGTCCTTACAGGCGTTGCTGTGGGCCCTCATAGAAGCTGGTGTGGAGCCGTTACAGACGGGTGTGGGGGCTTTAAAGCTGCTGACGCGAACTCTCTACAAGCCGGCAGGGGGTCTCAGTGACCGGCAAGGGGTCCTTAGGCCGGTAGAAGAAGTCCTGTGGGGTCCTTAGAGACCGGCATGGTACTGTCAGACGCCGGTGGGGCCCTCAGACTCACCGGTGTGGGACCCTCAAAAGTCACCAGTGGGTGGCCTTCAGATGCACAGGTGTTGGTTGGGTCCTCAGAGCCGCCGATACAGGGCTTAATTTGAATAGGCACTGGTGTAGGCACTCAGAGTTGGGGGTGTGAAACCCTCAGAGACACCGGTGTGGGCCCTCATAGGCGCCGATGAGGGCCCCATAGTTGCCGTTATGGGGCCCTCAGAAAAATAAGTGTGGGACCATCACAGGCGGGAAATGCCTCTAGAACTGGCCCCTCATAGGCCGGTAAGGACTCTCAGAGGCCAGTAACGGGCCTTTGGACTTTGGAGACCACCGAGGTGCCCTGAAAAGGCGCAAGAGGCGCTCAGAAGCCGGCGTGGGGCCCTTATGGAGATCTTAGTGTGGCTATTTAGGGCCCATGAGGTGCTCTAACGAGCCCCATGGGGCGGTCAGCGGTTTGACCTTCAGCGGTCAAATGGCGCCGCAGAGCCACTCGGACCCGAAGGTCCCTTTGAACCCGATGGGGGGGGGGGGGGTACGTGTTCCCCTAGACCCCTAGCTACGCCACTGTTTCATATGCATCATGTCAGGTATTTTAGGCTCGCCCCCCCCCCCAACTTGAAAATCGTTCCCGGGCCCCTGAACTCATTTCATGTCTATTTTCGATGCAGAGTCATCACGACCTGCCAACGACCACCCAGCCTCCAGCATTCCTGCTTCTTCCTAAGCAAGGGCGGCATACCTACACATCACGCACCTCCTCCACCACATCCGTCCATAGGTTATTGTTCATTGCCTATCATGTTTTCCAACGTGTCACTGGTGTCGCCCGCTGTTTCAGCCGTATACGTTCTGTGATGGTGTAACGCGGCCCCTGCCGGTGCCAGCTCAGCGGTAGCCCGCTGCCATGAGGGGATCAGATGGGGACAGGTGCTGACACGTCAGTCGCGTCCATTGTGCGCCGGAAACCGACTGACGGTCCGTCGGAAATCAGCCTGATTGCCGATTAGGTCCTGCAGATTGGGTGGTGAGAGCGGCTGTTTAGGTATTCACGGGCACCATGGGTACTCACGTCTCGTGATGAGAGTGGAATCATTGACGCCGGCGCAGGCTCATGCCTAACCTAATTGAGGGTAGCGTTATTATATCTGGAATCGTTTTTAAACGCATTTTAGGTTTAACTTTATATAGACAATAGATGTTCAAGAGGCACTGAACGCATTATGTATATAAGAAATATTCGCATAGATAAAACAGATGCCTACTTCTCCTGAATGCCCCTTCTCCTGAACACCGCATCGCTACCATCCAGTTGTACATAAGCGGTTCAAACAGCTAGACGAGTGTGTTGACGGGCCTGTCCCCTTTGGACCACATCTGGCCGGGGCGTGGCGACTCGTTTTTGGCGCGTGGTGTGACAGAAAAGGCGCGGCGGCGTGCGGCGGCAGCGCCGCGTCAGCTGACTGGTGGTGCCAAACGCTGCCGCCTCAGCAGCTACACGGCCGGTACACCGTTAGCGGACGGGCGCACGCGCCACGCTGACCCAACTCGTCGCGCAGATCTGGCATGGACATCTGATGAAGGAACGTCTGATTATGGGGCGTCCGCTTGGGAACAACGTCCGATTACGGGGCTCTCTCGCGCTAATCGGTGGTCGGTAGTTGATTAATTTACGTGCGCTGCCAAAAGCGAACCTAGGGACATTTGAGCAGCGTGATCGCCTCTACTAGGCTCTGACGCATTTCACACTGATTTCACGGGCTTCAGAAACCGTCGTCGGCCGTCGCTTCTCCCCTCCGCTGTTCCATCGTCCCCCGGCGTCCCACCGCGGCGCTGTTGGGAGGGCGGGGCTGTGGCCGACACCTGTGGCCTCCCCGCGTGGCAGATGAGGTTCGAACTGCGCTGACAGAGCTGCCGGAGTGACACCTGACCTGTAAGTATCTGAGCGCTGGGTGGTGGCGGTGGACGACAGGCCTGCTGAGGCAGCACGGCAGATGACGGCTCGTGGTGACGGGAGACGGGGAATGGTGCGAGGGAACGGTGGGTGCGTCGCACATGTGCGTCGCGTGATATGAAAAACTGATTGCTTATCATGCGTATGTGTGTGAGATGCATGTGTATATCACACACGCACATGGCTCCCACTGACACGAGCGGCCGGTGATGGGGATGGAAGGGATTTGCACGAGTAGGGGTCTGTTCGGCACTTAGTTGGTGCACCCGACATTTCGTGCCGACACAACCTCCAGGTGCCTCTCTGACCTTTGCAACACGAAGCGCGCGTCATAGCTTGACATGCCGATCATCTGTCACCGGTTGAAGGTCTCTCGGGGGCGGTAAACCGATCCTTCCAATGACTCTGTGATGCACCCGGTGTCAGTCGTGGCACTGAGTCGCTGATGAACGGAGATGGCACTCAGTCGTCCAGCAATGGTCCTGGCGGTGCTGCTGCCACTGCTGCTGCTGTCGGCGACCGCAACGGCTAGCCCTCAAGGCAAGTTGGTATAAAGAGTGTGTGCTTTGCGTCACGTGGATGAGCCTATCGTCATCGTGCTCATATGCATTTAGAGTTGAAGGCATTAACCCGCGAATGACTGGGATATATTTCCTGGGGGGAGGGGGCTCTACTTTCTTCGAAGCTATACTGGCTGGGTTTTCAAAATTCAAAGTACGATTTATATCCTTGGGAACTGTCGAGTAAATTCTAATTCTATTAACCCCCAGGTTACCAATGATGCCACAGATGAGGTCCAAACTCCGAAGTACCTACTTTTTTAACATATAAGACTCTGGGTTCTGGCCGCCGCTAAGCAACACACATCAAGCTCATTTCTGGTTTATACGTACAGCCCACCGCTAAAGTAATGTGCAGTTTTCTCAACGGATGGCTTTGATTGGCACTTTGTTACTGCGGAGTGATCGAAAAGAAGACGTCAATAAATCAAGTTGCAGCTGCAAGGGTGATAATACATGTAAGTTACATTCCAAGTTTCATTGTAGTCTGGCTAATCGTTCGTAAGCCTCAGAAGCAGAACATACCCATGGGCCATGACTGAAACCGCACCTTACTTCTGCTGAGGACTGTATGTAAGTACACACATACACACCCGTGTATGTTGAAGACACTCTGCTTGTCACGAGCTGTATGTACGTTCCTTGTACATTGCACCTAGAAGCTGGGTCAGGCTTGCAGACACAACTAGTCGTGCAAAATTTAAGGCATGTGTTGTGTAGATCATTCATAGGTCATTATTCGAATTTCGATTCGATGTCTCGAAGTGAGGGGCATGCTCATAGGCTTGTGGGTGCACCATTGACCAGAGTTTCTGTTTTCAGCGCAAGTAGAACTACCAACACAATGTCCGATCGGCTATCGGCGCAGTGGTGGGACTTGCGTTTTTGATTGCGAAGTTATACAGTGTCCAGGCACGACAGCCCTGGCCTGTCAACATAGATGTCCACCTCCCGGTCCTGCCGGTTTTCTTGGCCCAGGAGACGGCCTGGACGACCCTGTAGTGACGAGCTGTCCGGTGAACTCGGAGCCGTGTAGCTCGTCCGTGGCGAACGGCCTGTGCTCCCGGGACGGTGGCTGCTCGGGCTCGCTCAAGTGCTGCCAGTTCGGCTACAAGGGCACCTGCCAGAAGACTTGTCTACCCGGGTGCCCGGCGTGCGCGCCCGGCAAGACGTGCCGCCTGGACCGGGCGCCGTTCCCCTGTGTGGGCTCCACGTGCCCGGCCATCACGGCCTCCTGCCAGTCCTGAGCGGAGCGACGGACTGCGGTCCTCACGGCTTCCTGTCAGGTCTGAGCTGGGGGACGGACTGCGGTCCTCACGGCTTCCTGTCAGGTCTGAGCGGAGGGACAGACTGCGGTCCTCACGGCTTCCTGTCAGCCCTGAGCAGAGCGGGGGACTGCCGTGCGACGCGACCCGGCTGCGGCGATCAGACGGCGCAGACGGTTTGTGTCGCATTGCCGGCAGTCGCTGGTCGCTATTTCTGCCGTTTTTCCTTCTCTTTGTAACAGGGCATATTTTAACATACTGACTGGGTCCCATTTTGGGACGCAGCCCCCTGCCTTTGGGACGTAGCCCTCGCGAAATTTGGACCACTGCGTCCCACACTGAAATGTCACGGTTTCAGCGGAAAAGTGCAAGCAAAAATAAGTTAGCATGCCTCGGTCTTTTACTATGCAACATATGTTGCCTTTCTGATTGCTTTGTGCCCTGATTTACTATGCACCTAAGCACATACATGCGCTCTCCAGTCCTTGTGCCCTACCCTATCCTAGGGTCGTACACCTTGTTATGTCCTGCCCTACTATACCCCTAGGATATGTGACCTGCCCAGTGCCCAGTGCCCTGTCCTAAGGTCTTGTACCTTGCCCTGCCCTTCCTTCAGGCCCCGCGCCCTGCTCTGCATTCAGGCCCTGTGACCCTCTCTGCCCTGCCCAGTGCCCTCAAACCCGATACCTTGTTGTCTTCCCGTCTTAAGGACCCGTTCGGTGCTGCTGCCGGTTCGGTGCTGGGCCCGGATTTCGGGAAAATTGTGCATATCTAGTCCTGTTCCTTGCCCTGCCCTCAGATCCAATAATACTTACCTATATTGATAAAAAAAATCAAATATAAGATTTTAGCTAAAGCTGGAGAGGATTATCCCTGGACCTGGGCGGAACCCAGGGAGGCGAGGCGAGTTATCACAACTCACAAGCAGCATGAGTGTCACCTTTAATCCCCTACGCTCCCCCTCCCGTGTGGCACCATCCGCCGCCCACCACCCATTCATGATTTACATTCGCGTAGTCGCCGTGCTGGACCTGTCGGAGCCGAGCCGGACGTGCGAGCCTGAATGTTAGGCTGACCCGGGAGGAATCGGCGCCCGTCCTTCCGGGGATTCCCGGCCATTGAAACCAAGGCCGTATAAGAGAGGTAGAATCATCCCGCGATTTCCAATGGACCGGTCGCTAAGCATTAGCGTGACGTCACTGGTGGAGACCGGGCGGCGCCCGGCTCCAACCTGTACGTCGGGTAGGTACATTTGGCATCGTATAGTTGTTATTACTGAACAACGAACGTAACGACAACTAATGACTCTTAATAACTTTTTTACTCACCTAAAGCTGATTTCTTTGCCGGTAGGTACATTGCCGACCAGAGCCCCAGGGTTGACAAATAACAATCATGGGATATGGGTTGGTTGGGCGACCTCGCAACGGGAGGAGGAACGATTGCAATTGTTGTGTTCCGCACCGCCGATTGCATTCTCTATCTGCACCCGGGGGAGGGGAAGCAGGGGGCACGTGCCCCCATCGGATCAGGGCTCCCAATATCCCGATCAGGGCTCCCCGCTCCCAATATCCCACTTGCTGTCCCTCCACCGGCACATTACACAATGACACGTGTATCTCACCTGCATTATATACTATTTCGCTTGCAATGTGATATGTGCCCTTTCCGATCAAAGCATGTGCCCTATGCCACCTTTGGGACGCAGTAAAAAATCCTTAAAATATGCCCTGCTTTGTAATATACGGGCAAATGTGCCTCTGTGTCCACAACACGAGGCAACGAATATCGTAACCCTTTCCCTCGGTGACAGGTGACAGCTGACAGGTTCACGGACAGGTGACTCTGCCTGTCATACCTGACAGCTAACCGGCGAATGACGCAGTTGTGTGGTATTGAGAGACATAGGTAAAGAAAGAGTTGCATTTAAAGCATTGAGCAACTAAAGTTTGCAGCCGTCGGCTCGCCTGCTATGAGTTTTGTGAGAGCTTTGAATGAGCCTTTCGCTTTCATGTAATGCTGTAATTTCCATATAATTATTCTCAACGGTATTTATAATTTGAAATTTTGACACTTGTCATGTATGAGTATAATACAAAGGGCCTTCAGTGAACCGCTGCAAATATGTTCTAAGGAGTAAACAATAAACAATAAACATGGCTTATTTTTTTCAGATTTAAACAAAGGCTACCTCAGCCTATAGCCCCTGAATCCCAAGCTGTTGCCGGTTTGACAGCGGCGGCGCGGCGGCCGGCGCGGCGGGGCGTTCTCCCGGCAGAGTGGCGGCCTCCGGCGCGGCGGCCCCCGGGGACCGGGGACCGGGGACGGGGGAGGCCGGGAGGCCGGGGGCGGGGGAGGGCGGGTCGTCCGCCGCGCCGCCCGTTTAATCCCGGCCAATGGCCGCCGCCTGTAGCACCGCCGCGCGTCACATCTGAATCACAAAACGTAAGAAAACTGGCCGACCCTCATCAGGCTGAGTGGTTCGCGTCGTTACAGTAAAGATAAGATGGGACGGCCGGGCGCTTTGGTGCGCTGACTCGATAGTCGGGCACGGTCGGCGGGGGGAGGGGAGGGGAGGGGAGGGGTGGGGCTGGCCGACGATCCAGGCAGCAAACAGCGAGGCCCAGCGAGCTGCAGCCCAACCCGGGACTGCCAGGCTCCGCCCAGCGTGGTGACAGGGTGGATGGCAGCCAGTTTACATAGGTGGTTCATCTTCGCAATATTAGGTAGGTACTTACACACAGATCAATGACACATTGCCTTTTCAGGAACTTTTTTAAAATCATCACCTGTGACAAGGGGGTGACAAGAGCTTTGTTAGGGAAGGATCGACTATACTGCAATGACCTTCGAATAAATAGCGTTAGTGAAAGTATACAAGGATTCATAATAATGCATAATAATGGGGTAGTTTTAGATCCATTGTAAAAATCTGCCACGTTGAATGCGGTCATTAAATTATTTGTCACATCATTTATGCACGGAACGTTTTAGGGAGACAGTTGTCTCCCTAAAATGTTGTGAAAGTGGCATTTTCCTCATAATAGGTAGGTAATCGACGAAAAAATAAGATAAAAGATAAAACATGATTTCTATTCCATTTTTTTTAGTGAAATATAATGCCAAAATCAAACTTATGTATACTAGTCATAGGTTATAGTCAAAGAGCAAGAAATCAAAACCATAAATCATCATCGATGTGCCTACTGCCTAATGTGTGCAGTAGCCTGGGCAATTGGCAATAAATTCACTTTTCTCGTGTATTTGTTAGCATATGGTACGGGTTAAAAAGGAATAAAAACACTTGTGTCTAAAATCTGGTGATCCACACAAGTCAGTTGGGGCCTCATTTAGCACATGTAGCACATGTTACGACTGATACGCACACATATTTCACTCGCTCGTTCGTTATGCGCTGCTCAATAAACGTTTCATTTTGCGTTAACTACCTATTAATGGTGGCCAGACGCGCTGCCTATGGTGCCGCCGCAGTGGCAGTCTCGGCCATCTCTCGGCCGCTAGGCGAAGCTCCGGCTCCCGATTATAGAGTCCACCGCGGCGCCGGGAGGGACGGCCATCGAAGTCTGATGGAGATCCGGCGAGCTTCGACGATAAATCATCAGCATTTGTTGATTTGAAAGCTGCTGATCGCTCCATCCCGCTAAAATCGTGTCCGCTGTGATAAATGGCCGTCGGCGGGCATTGAGGCTCTGCAGTGAGCGCTGAAAACTCCGGGCGGCGGCGCGGCGCCGGGCAAGTTTTCCAGTCGGAGGCAATGTCCCCGAGTCGAGAGCGACGTGGCCTCATCAGGGCCGGCTGCGAATCGCCGCACTCACGCGATTACCACGGCGCGGTGTCGCCGCCGACTGAGTGGGATAAACCGGGCGTCGGCCGCTGACAAATGAAGCGGCCGATCGACGCCGCGCCGGCTTTGTCCCGCCCGCAGTGACCGCAGTGACCGCAGTGACACGGGCTGACCGCGCCATACTGAACTACTGAACTACGCACCGGAACTGCCCGAGACTGCCATTACATTATCGTAGTTATTATTACATACATGATAAAGCATCTTGGCAAAATACTGTTTTCCCATATTTCCCCGAAATGTATTTCCTAGATAGGTATGCGTATTGCACGATTGCATTATGAAGACTTAATAAAACTTTCTTTTGAGCCGAAAAAATCGACAGAATTATCCAATCGACATCATTATCCCAAACCTATGTCAAGGTTTGTTAGAAGGTACTTCATGTTTTTCGACTAGTATTGTGAGGTGTCATAAATGGACCTACACTCATATGCCGCCAGTGTTCATTTACCGCGGATTTGCTTTGTCTGCATCAAATTGTCGACAGAGAAAAATCGTGCTGAACTTCTGACATTGAGTTTGGGGTAAGACGGGCGACTATGAATCCAATGGGTCTGTAATGGTGAAAATATTTTTGTTGCTGTAGGAAAAAAAGATGCATAATAAATATACATAAGAATATGTTCGATTCCGATACTCACAGACATGTTAGAAATATTCCTTCGGCACAGTTTATTCTCGAATAATGAATGTGAAAAATGGCTTCCATGAACTAGGGCCTATATACGAGCAGACGCCTTCTGCACGAATCTCGTATAGGTACTGCCATTTCCGAAGCACTTGAGAGTTGAGACCAACGAGCGCTGGCCGCTGTATCAATGCTGCTAATCTCGGGCATTCGTTGCGAGCTGTGCTGGTCGGTGAAAGAAGCTGGCCGTCTTGCCCTACCCATGTGACCGTCTTACCCTGCGGGTGGGGTAAGACGGGTTTTTGCAAGGTTTTGCAAAAATAGCTGCAATTTATTTGTTGAATCAGGTCTAAGTCTCAGCTTCTGGCAAATGGAAGTAAAATTTCTGAAAAAGGTTTTCACTCAGTTTCCCATTTCTATGTTTCTAACCGGCCGAAAAATGGCTCCAAAGTTAAGGTGCCCCGTGCCCGTCTTACCCCACTTTCCCCTGCTGAATCACCAGCTGACTTAGCCGTGTTTTGGTGGATCACCCCCTAAGCAATAATACAGCTGACGGCGACTCACAGCCATCTACCGACTGACCCGGCCTGGAACGAACTAAGCCGCGATGGCGTCGACAGTACAGTTGGGCGCGCCACTATTGACCCAGGCGCGCCGCGCTCGTCTCTGAACCGATTGCCGGCAGTCTTGTCACGACCATTTCCGGATGACGAACTCTGACAAATCGGATTTGTTGGCGCGCTTTGTGAAGTGGCGGCCGGGTCGGGCAATCGAATCAGCGCCAGAGTAACATCAGGGCGTGGGGCCGAGTTAAAAATGGCAGCAGGCCGCCGAACGGAATGCCGAGTGGCCGACGCGCCGCCGCCATTCTGTCCTCCGGCCGCCCGAGTCGGCGACACGGCAGCGGGGTTAGGTTAGACAGGCCGACAACTAGGCGTGGAACAAAAGACAGTAGGTCCGGATAGGCTAATTGAACTTAAATAGCTAGCAACGCCTGGAAATTGCAAACAAATGAATTCATTGCATAGCTGCATTTTTGCCTACGTACTTATGTCCATGTCTATTATCTAGGTACTATGTGTCTTCTATTTTTACCTAATATTAATAACATCCGTCGTTGTTACCTATTCACAGGAAAAATGCCTTTAGAGCCAAGCTGGTCATTATATAATATATAGTCACAAAGTCAACTGAAAACGCGCATTACATCAAGTCTGATTGATATCAGTGCCCAGTGGTCCTTGTTCAACGGTCAGTCTGAAAAAGTTCAGCTTATCCTATAACGTACGCATGGGTTGAGAACCTGCCCCGGCCACCCCGGCCGTGGCCGGGGTAACTTTCAGCCTACCCCGGCGCGGCCGGGGTAACTTTTCCACTCTTGTAAATTTAAAGCTGTCGCCATACGAGAAAAGAAAACTGTCGTTTTTCGGATGTTGACTGCCATGGGCGTAATACTGCAAATCAGGGAGGTATTTACACTATTTAGGTACTCAACTTACCATGCGGTGGCGTTGAGCCCAAGGACCCGCGTGTGGTTGCCAATGCCAAGATTCTCTCAAATCGTGTTCAGTTTCGAAAATTTGAAAAAAAAAGAGAAAAAAGAACCACTGCTTGACCTCACTGCCTTCGACTGGCCTGCCACAAACCGCAACCATACCGTCAGGGCGTAGCCGTCAGGATGCTCATACACCGAGCGTCCGTCACGCTTCGAGCTCGGACTGTTGTAACCGGAACGCGTGCTCTCGCCACGCGGAGTCCAACGCTCAAGCGATTGAGCTACGAGACCGGGACCGGTCGATATCCCTGGATAGACTCCCTATTTGTCTTATAAGAGGTTGAGCCACCCAACATTGAAAAAGACTGTGTCCCTGGATGTCAGTGACCCATTTTAGTGCTTTGGTTCGAACGCTCAATTTTCTCTGTGAAGCTCCTACGAGGTGAGCTGTCATCTTTTTGTAGCTATTTTGAGACACAATAAAAAGCTGAAAACGCAACATTTACTCATAATGACTCATGATAGGTATGGTTTGGATATGTTGTGAAATTGCATATAAGTTTAAGTAAAAAAAAATCACTGAAAAGAAAATCGCCTTTTCAATCATCGCCAACAATGTTATGAATGATACAATGTCGGATACAAAGCTCACCCTTGAACAAACACAACGTCCATTAACCATTTCCATGGGTCAGAATAGGGGTTTATTTATGATCTTAGTCGTCTTTCCGACTATCGGTCGCCGGCCGGGGTAACTTTTTCAAACATTCTCCACCCATGAACGTACGCCGTACATACAGCAAGCAAGTAAAATCACGAAAATACGTCAGCTGAGTTTAGCACAATTTATTTTTATGCTAGCTTAGGTATCTAAAAGTAGCAGAAACGTCTCCATGTGCTCCTTTGATCGCCGTATACCTATAACTGGCGTTTCCACGGGCACGGCAGCTATAGCTACCTATCTACGATACATCGTAGATAGGTATGGCTATTGCCTAGCTACCGTACCATTATGATTGCCACGCATATTGAACATGTTATGAATTTCATGCTCAACATCGATATGGGTGACATGGAACATCAGTCTGTCCGAATCTTGATCACGTGCGCTGGCTTAGTTTTCCGTAATCACTGCACGTCAGCGAACAGTATCTGGCGCAGGAGCAGCCCTCTCTGGACCAGCAGCAGCGCTCCCACTTGCCGCACGCGCTGCTGTTCTGACACAGCTCAAATCGTAAAATGATTGTGCTGCTGGTGGCATTTGAACCTGAAACGGACGACAAGGTTTTCAGATGCAGAGGTGAAAAAAATGTCTACGCTGTCTCCAACTGTATAAGCTGGCATACTGGCTCTGTCTCCAGGCAAATTGTAAACTTTTTTGGCTGAGCAGCACACGAAGCCCTTATTTATACAACCTTTACAATTTTCTGGCTTTGAAAGACACTCAATCAAGTTCTGTTAGATAAAAGGTGAAGTATTTTCAAGAGCTGAAAAAGGTTCAAAAAGTGGAAACAGAATATTTTGGATTTTGGAGTTGCTTTTGGGGGAGTGTTCCTTTTATACCTTCAAAAACTTTCTGCCATCTTTCTGCCATCTGGACCCAACAATACCCATTGGAATACTGGTTGTGTTTATACTGTGTTCCCATGCTTTTGAACCGCAGTTACCACGAATGCCGCTAACAAATGCGAAGGGTGTATTTGTTTCTGGGATAGACTAATGGCTAGCCTTTATGCTTTAATCGCGAGGTCAACTCAAAACGATTGAACTGATGGTTTACCAATGCTTATAGAGCTTGTGTCAGACCAGACAAAATCAGCTAAGCCCTGCGTCAGTCGTCCTGGACCAACCGTTCGATTACGGACGGTCCGCGTGGCGTTCGCATTGGGGTCCGCCTGATAAAAGACGCCGTTGTACCATTTTATGGCACACAGATGTTACGGTCGGTCCTTGGGCAATGGGCAGCAGTGTGGAGGCTGTGAGGGGATCGGCTAGACGTGTGTGCTAGTGGCTGCTCTCCTTCATCTACACAAAGGCAAGGTAATTGAAATTTTCAACTTACTTTGCTGTTAAATCAGCAATGCTTATGAATACAATGGGTGTTATTTTCCTAAAATAAAAGCCGGACGCAGTTATCAGCTTTCGAAAGGACTATCGCTTCGGAGGTCGGCACTTCAAGCAAATCGTAAGAATTACCTACGAACAAATTTAGGTTAGCAGGGCGTTCAATCATTTCTATGTATACCTAAAACAGACAAAAAAGCAGGCTAGCACTGCACTTGTGGGCATCATTACCGGGTGTTATTCCAAACAGAGGGCTAGTTAATGAGCAACACGCAAATGCCTTAATTTGCCTACCAACTCTCCAATTAAAAGCAAGTCATATTTGGGTAACGTCGCGCCTGCCTTAAAATGACTCGCGGATACTCCAGTCAAATTATTTATACCAACCTTATTTATAAAGTGCAATGCTGCCCGTCGTCCCCGGAAACCCCTCCCCACCCCCTGCCGCCCGCTCCCCGGCCCGTCCGCCACGGCCGGGCCAGGCCGGCCCGTGGCCTCGGGATCCGCCGACCTTCAGTGTAGGTGGCGCTACTGCCAACTGCCGGACCGGGGCCTTACCGCCGCCATGGCCACCGTTGGCAGGTCGAGAAATGCAGAACTGCAAGGGACTGATTTGGCTACTGGAATGAAGTCATGCATTGATAATGAAAGCGTCATCTCGCATATCCCTACTATTTTAAAGCTATAATTACCTTTGAATAAATGCTTCCTCTGCCATGCAGAAATCTAAGGCATGGGAATAAGCCAATGAAAATAGCAGATTTGCATTGATATAAGCACCAATGAAGATTTGGATTGTTTTAAATCATTGAGATGCATGCACATATTTAGACTGATCTCTGTCCTTACCTGATAGTGTCAGCAATATGGGTGCTTTGATATAGACCACAAAGATTCAATATTTGTAAAATCAAAATGATGACTTTGGAGCATTTGCCCTTCACTTCCAACAGGAAGTCCAGAAATGGTTCAATAATATAGGTAAATGCTTGTTGCAAAATGCCAATGCTTGCATTGAGGCTGTGCACCTCAATCTGCAAATATCAAACCATGTGGTTTGTATAATGGGTACATAGAAACAAGTTTTACACATCATGGGCTGATGCTAGGACCAGCTAGGATAAGAAACAACATCAAGCTTAAATAAAACTTCTAATGAATACTTAATCTAAAATTCTTGAAATTCACAGAGAAGTGCAATCAGCAACAGAAACTTCAGGTTTGTCTTTTCCTTTTGAAGTAGGTATTTGTAGAATAAAATGCAATCAATGTATTGTACCACCTTCACATGCATTCCTAAATCAGTCAATCAGAACTGAACTTTGAACTGAAATATAAAACAAATGAAAGGAAAACGACTGTTTCTGCATCAACTATATAATAAAAATCATCCACAAGGGATTTTGTACAATATATGTTACTTTTATTTGAAAAGTTCGATATTTCCTCAGTAGGTACCTATTGATTCCTCAACTTCGATAATTATTCCCCAACCTCAACCATTGTCTTATTTTATTCTTACCTAGGTAGATCCAACTAAGATCCAACCACTCTCTTACTTCAAGCACACTTCACTGTTGCGCTACTATCCCAACGGTATTTTCAGAAGCTGCGCCGCGTTGTCACAAGTGCGCAGGGTTTGTGCTAGCGTTTTCGCTACTGAATTTTTTTCGTGTCTCCGGAGACAGCCGTAAGGTCTAGTTTCGCGGCAAGCGTCACAGAGAATCGTCTTTATGGATTCCGGCCGGCTCTAGGAGTCATCACCTTCTCACCACCTTCTGTCTCCGGTGTCTCCGGGGCAGCCTATGTATACTGTATAGTGTATATAGTGCTCTGTGCTGTGGAGTAAGAAGTTCTCGTAATGAACTAAGACTCAATATGATTGATTTTTTTGCGTGCATCAAATAAAACGAGAAGAATTTGACGACAACAATGAAACGAGATTGTTAGATATCCAAGTGGTTGTGTCTCCGACGACCTTCCTTTATTGGATTGACTCTGTCTCCAACACCGGTTGGAGAGTTGACACCTTTTTTCACCTCTGTTCAGATGAACTCCCACGGTTCGTCCAACGGCAGACCAATGCTCAGCACGATATTTCGAGAGAGTTTGAACTGGTTTGGCCCAGTTAACCCTATTAGTGGCAGGCTCCTGGCTACCCCATATTAGTGGCAGGGGGGGGGGGCTGTTTACGACCCCCCTTGATATCTCGAGATCTAACCGGCCGATTTTCAAAATTCAAACGGCATTCGATTTGGCTCAACGAGATCTACATTTCTAAAAAAATAAAATTAAAAAATGTCAATAGGGGGGTAGAGGGGGGTAAAAACGGGCAAATTGCAGATACATTTTAGACTGTTTATCACGGCCAGGTTTCTGAACCAATCTTAACGCAACTTTTGCCGATCGATAGAGAATGAACCAGGAATTCACATGGATCCTAAAAATATGCATTTTCAAAAATCATAGGCGGATACAGATCATTGAGATTGGGGGTACACAAAAAGTATAGTAAATAAGGTTTTTGTTGGTACTGTTTCTAAAAAGGGTGGCAATGGTCTTGTTATGTTACAATTTTCTTATGAGAGAACGACTAAAATTGTATTGGTCATGCATAGGCGGTGTCAGGGCACCTATGTTGGGAGGTAAAAAATAACCCCCCTTTTTGGACGCCTGGATCCGCCTATTATAGCAAAAACGTGTCAAAAGAGGATGCACAATAACTTTGTATATGTTATCACATGATACCTTTCATTCACTGTTCGTAAAACTGGTGCAGCATCGTGATCTTCGCCCAAATGACTCGCTTCACGAATAGGACCCCCAATTCCCAGTGCTCTGGAGCCGCCCCTGGTAAAGTTATGAACTTGAAATTTTCAGGGAATGTGCCCAATTTAGTTTTAGGAAAAGTCAGAAAATTTCAGCATCGTAGCTTCAGCGGTTTCGGAGATATTCCCGAAAAACCTGAGGGGTGGATAAAAACAACCCCCCCTGCCACTAATAGCCTATAGTCTGGGCCTCCTCAGTCCTCTTCAGGGTTTTCGCGAACGCACAAGCAATAAGAAGGCAGAACCTGTATGCATAGGCATGTTGCTCAATATTTGAGTAACCTACCTACCCTACCTACCTACCCAACCTACCTAATAGGTAAGAGTAACCTCTTGCCTATTGCCTGCAGATATAGTACAGGAATGACAACGCCTATAGGTAACTATAGGCGCGGTATTCGTGCAGGGGCAGTGCGGGGCAGCTCTCCCTCACAACTTTAGGGTCGCATGGGGGCGCTGCACCCACAACTTTCAGCTGTGGGTCCAGAAAACAAATTTTGAAGAGACGGAGTTTAAGAAATGAAATGCTCCTATTGAACTTGAGCGCGGTTCATCATTTCCTTTCTTTGGCAACGTTAGCAGAGCTACAGACTGACAACCCTGGCAGTACCAGAGTTGGGTACCAGAGTCAACCCTGGCTGCAGGCTGGGAGGCTGACTTTACAACTACCTAGGGGAAAGTGGGGTAAGACGGTCAGGGTAGGTAAGACCACGTAAGACGGGCACCCCTTCTGCAGACCAAACCAATAGCGCTACGAGCGAGAAAAATTAGGACCAGAACTGTCTTTCCCACTACACACCACCATTGAAGTCTGGTGAATTTGTGTTCAGTCGAAAATCTTTTATTTTGATTTCTTTTAAACACTCATTTCATTGAAAACATCCTTAACCCTCGCCCGTAAACGGCGATCTGCCACCTTCGCCCATGCAGGGGGGGGGGGGTTGGTGCGACCCCCCCCCTTAGCGTTTGAAAACGGAGCGTCGTAGAGCTTAGCGGAAAAGACCAACGGATTGCTCTCGCCGAGACCTCGCGATTGGTGGTATATTTTTTGGTCCTAGGTCAACATTTGACCTACTTTTGACCGGTCAAAGGTCAAATTTTCGGAAAAATATACTTTTTCAAATTTTCCGCGGCGATTGCGGCAAAACGGTGGGAGATATCGACTTGAAACCTTCACTATCGTGTTCCCTGATCAATTCTCTATCGTTTGGTATGTATTTCGTTTCCCTAGCTCTAAAAATGGCGCGTTGGGAGCGCCGGAAGTCGGCAAGAACACAGTCGGCGGCAGAAATTCGAAAAATCAAAATTTAAATTTTTGAAATCTGATTGTATTTTTGGATTTGGGATGTCCATTTGCTCCCTATAGAAGCTAATATTGCTGCATATTCCCATTGAGGTGACAAGAATTAGCAAAATAGTGGTTCGGGCGCTTTTCAAAAATAGTACCGGACGCTGTTCCTCTTGTGACGTCATAGCTCCGTGACCTGACCTGACCCGGTCAAGTTTCTTATACCATATGATAGCCAATACTTGCCGCAACATGCATGGGAAGTTTCATCACGATCCATCAACCGATGTCCGTACCACCGGCAGGAAACCTCGGGCGTTGGCACTCAGTTTGTGAAAATCCGGCCTGAGGCTGTTCCCTTTGTGACGTCATAACTCCGTGACCTGACATGACCCGGTCAAATTTTTTTTATTAAAAGATGCGCAAGGGTTGCCCCATAAGGTACCCAAAATTTGGCGGCGCTGCGCGCCGCCGTTTTTGCGCTATTTCCGAAAAATCTCAGGGGGGGGGGTTGCACCAACCCCCCCCCCTACATGGGCGAGGGTTAATGTACATATTGTGCAAGCTTTTGTGTGCAGCTCTATAGGTAGAGTTAAAAACTCGCAATCACTTGTGGTGCACTCATATGCCACCAGTGTTCATTTAGGTACCGCGGATTTGAGCTTTGTCTGCATCAAATTGTCCACAGAGAAAAATCGTGCTGAACTTCTGACGTAGAGTTTGGGGTTAGACGGGCAACTATGAATCCAATGGGTCTGTAATGGTGAAAATATATTTGTTGCTGTAGGAAAAAAAGAAGTATTTCTAATAAGAATATGTTCGATTCCGATACCTACTCACAGACATGCTAGCAATATTCCTTCGGCACAGTTTATTCTCGAATAATGAATGTGAAAAACGGTTCTACATGGCTTCTGAACTAGGGCCTATATAGGTACGAGCATACGCCTTCTACACGAATCTCGTATACTGCCATTTCCGAAGCACTTGAGACCAATGAGCGACTGTATCAATGCGGCTAATCTCGGGCATTTGTTGCGAGCTGTGCTGGTCGGTGAAAGAAGCTGGCCGTCTTGCCCTACCCATGTGACCGTCTTACCCCATGGGGTGGGGTAAGACGGGTTTTTGCAAGGTTTTGCAAAAATAGCTGCAGTTTATTTTTTGAATCAGGTCTAAGTCTCATCTTCTGGCAAATGGAAGTAAAATGTCTAAAAAAGGTTTTCACTCAGTTTCCCGTTTCTATGATGTTTCTAACCGGCCGAAAAAAATGGCTCCAAAGTTAAGGTGCCCGTCTTACCCCACTTTCCCCGACATACGCATGGATAACCGCCCACGAATTGGAATGAACGTTAATTGGTTTACAGTGTAGATGTGCCTTCTTACCTGAAGCTCTCTGACCGATGCACGGGAAAGTCAGCAGCGAGAGCACAGCAAATATAGAGAGAGCTCTCATGGTGACTCTTCCACACTGACAGCTAGTGAGCGACTGTGTAGGGCGTCACAGTGTTACGCTGTAGTGTCATCCGTGGGCCAGTCGCCCGGTAAAAATTGACATTGCGTTTCTAAATGTCACGTTACGGTATAATGGATTTTGTGCTACTCCCGTACTACAGGTAGGTATAGGTACCTATATAGGTACATATCTGCATATTGCATATGCACGTCGACGGGCAATTTGCGCTAGCACCGAGATCACCTGTAGTCACCATATTCGAAACGGCTGATGAAATCGCAAACGGCGAATCAATTGGTAGTGTTATAGTCTCCGCGCGGTCAGCCCATATAGGTACTCCCTATACTGGCCTATACCCAGCCAGCCATCCCAAACGGGGCCCATATGGGCTGGAAGTGGGGCATCTGGGCGAATGTGGGCTGGGCTACATCTGGGTAGGTATGTCATGGGCGTCCAACTGGGTCCCAGATGGGCTAGATGTGCTAACTTTACGTGCTGGACTTGGCCAGCGGCTCCACTGTGCCGCTACCCTGCCTGATCTGTGCCGCTACCCTGCCAGACTCCTGATCTGACAGCCGCCTGGGCACACCCCTGCCCACGGTTCGTCGGAAACTCATTTCATCCACAAAAGAAACGAAATATACATGGGTGGAGAACCTGCCCCGGCCACCCCGGCCGTGGCCGGGGTAACTTTCAGCCTACCCCGGCGCGGCCGGGGTAACTTTTCCACTCCTGTATATCCTAGAAGCTGTCTCCAAACGAGAAAAGAAAACTCGTTCTTCAAATGTTCACTGCCATGGGCGTAATATTGCAAATCAGGTAACTAACTATTTGCTTAATTAACATACCATAATCTCCAACCCCAGGACCCGCGTGTGGTCGCCAATGCCAAGACTGCTCTAAAATCTGGTTCAGTTTCGAAAATTTGGCGCGTTTTCGGCGCACTTTTTCTGAAACAATGTTTGACCTCGCTGCCTTCGACTGGCCTGCCAGTGCCAAAGACCGCAACCATACCTGTTTATAATAGCGTACTCGTCAGGATGCTCATAAACACCGAGCGTCCGTTGCACGCTTCGAAATCGGACTGTTGTAACCGGGACGCGTACCTACTCTTGCCACGCGGAGTCCAACGCTCTACCGACTGAGCTGCGAGACCGGGACCGGTCGATATTCCTGGATCGACTCCCTGTTTGTTTTATAGGAGGTTGAGCTGCCCAACATTGAAGAAGGCTGCGTAAGGGGTTTGCTTATGATGACCGTTGACAACAATGTGAGCACATCGTCTTTCCGACTATTGGTCGCCGGCCGGGGTAACTTTTTCAAACATTCTCCACCCATGGAAATATACCATTCGAAAGCTGACGGTGAGCTGATTCCAATAATGTATTTTTTGTCGAAATCGTTCGATGGCCTTTTTCAATTAAATTGCGTTTTTGTAAAACGTAATAATTTTTTATTCAACGAGCTGTCCAGTGTCCAGGACAGATCTGCCTCTATAGGGGAGAGTGGGGCAATGGCGGACGGTGGGTAATGCCGGCCACCCATCTCCAGTGAGTACTTTGTCCATCACTAATCAGCTGATATTGTTTACATTTCAGTTGAGCGCCATTCTAGCACGTGGTGCAAGTTTGTCACGGTAGCTCCATTATTTTCATTTTTATAGCGTTAAATGTGTTTTTCGTATCTGATTTTTAATTTTTGTTGCATCTATTTGCTGACTGTGAAATGTGTCAACGCATTTTCAGAAGTGCTGCTTTGCAATGACCTTCAATTAAGCCTTTCTTAGGCGACTGCTGGATGTGAGGCGTTTGCGGCGCAATGCCTTTGACTGCTACCTGCTTTCTTAAAATAAAGCTGACCTCGGGGTAATACCGGACACCAGGGGCGTCGTTTTGTATAGGCCTGGGAGTGCCCGAGCACTACCAATGTTCAGCTGAGCACTACCAATGTGTTGTTGAGCACTACCAACATTTTTCTTCACTTATTGAGAAAATTGCATTCAAACATGTCATACAAATAAAATGAATGAGGTTCTTATGTATAAAATCAACATGATAGCAAGTAACTTCAATGGTAAGTGGTAACTATTGATAAAAATCTATAGACTTACTCCACAAGTAGATTGAATTTGAATTGGTTGACCAATTCAATCTTCTTGTAGCGTACCTAAGTCCATAAATTTCCATCAATATCTAGGTATCATTTTCACTTTCCACATCATGTCATTACGTCAAGTAATTTCAAGTTATGTGGTACCTACCTACCTACCTACATACCTACCAAGTTTCACAAAAGTCAGGGGCGTCGTTTTGTATAGGCCTGGTAGGGCCCGAGCCTTACCAATGTTTATTTGGGCCCTACCAATGTTCGCTGAGCCCTACCAATCTTTTGTCACTTATCAGTTGATAAAAAATCAAAATAAACAGATAAGCAAATATTAAATAAGCACATATGCAAGTACATAAATAAGGCTCTAGCCACAGTAGGTGCATGTAGCAGGCTGACAATAGCCGTGTTTACATAGGGTTCCCTTAATCTTCCCCTATTTCTCCCCTATTTTCAGATCGAATTTTAGGCATCATAGCGATCGCGTGTAACGTTGCTATGGGCGCTATTGTTGTTAGAAGCATACAAAGCATCGTTTATGCTGTAAACAACATAAATTGGGCTTATTTAATACTCGAAATTCAACAATTCATATTTTGAAGTATTTTTATCCTGCCCTTCAATTCCCTCTTTAAGCGACAAATAGGGGAGGATTTGGTAGCGTAGCGCCTTTCCAAAAGCTGCTACGCTACCATATCCAGTGGTTCTCAAACTACCAAATCACAAAAGCGGCGTGCTGATTGGCCGGCAGTTCCGAATCGTCCGACTGGTGGTCCCCGACTCGACAAGCGCACGTGCGCCGACTGAGGATTTTTAAGTGGCATTAACGCATAAACGGCAGAAAGTCAAGGCAGAAATTCGACAGGTGCGGTGTTCTGATATTGCCGTGGATGTGATTACACCTACTTGAATAATAGCTCAGCCGTTTAAAGTATGTTAAATGCCAGATAGTTTTCTGATTTTTCTTGCTTTGAGCTTTCATGTGCTATCACTTTTACCTCAGTGTCTAGTCTGGAAGCTATTTGGGAGAGCCCTAAAGGTAAGTAAAAATTGCAAACTGCTTCTAGAATGACTTAGTTGCGCCATATTTGTAGTGAAGCGAGGTAAAGGAGACAGAGGATTCCTTTATAAGGGACATTTAAGAGACAAATAGGGGAAGATTAAGGGAACCCTATGTAAACACGGTTAATGAGGTTTCACGTGTCTAAGACTCCGGTCCTTAATGGATTTTAAGAGGCTCGAAAACGCAATTGGTTATAGAGGTCCATAACTGCCTCTGAGTCCCGCATACCACGCGACCGCCCCTAATAGACCCCGATCCGTCTCCACACCAGCCGCTGGAGGCCCTACACCGACTTCGGAAGGTGCCGCAGTGCTCCAGAATAGGCCATAGGTATATTGATTTGAGTGGGTGATGCAGCCTGATTCCCCAGGGTTCAAAGCCAGGTCATTACCGCATCAGACCCCGAAAACTGAAGCTCGTAACTACGAGGGGCGTTCAAAAAGTTTCGGGCCGAACAATGAAGGAGTTGGAATTTTGGCCTGCAAGGCGGTGTGTTAAATGATGTGTTATTGGGATGTCCACTTACGCAAATTAAGTAAGTGGCCATTAATTAAGTCTCTTCTGTGATAGATTCGGGCTTCTATTCGTAGCATAGTTCGCCATTTCGGATAGGATGGGCGACGCCCAGAAGAGAGCAGTGATTCGTTTTATAGTAGTTAGTGCAGAAAAGGCACCAAGCGTTAACCCTCGCCCTGGGCATTTTTCATAACACGGCCTGGCAGGGGGAGGGGTTGATGCGACCCCCCTCCGCTCGTCAACTTTCCAAAACAGGGGCACACAATTGATGATGTGCGTCCATTCGATAAACATCGAACATCGAGGAGAGGCTATAGGGAAGCTGACGTAAAGTGTGCACCTGATCCGTGACCACGCACCTGCGTACATGGGCGGGATGACGAACAGTGAAGCGATGAGCTTCGAGTTGTCGCATCCACTTTTTCTCTCCGAACCTTGCACACTCTGGTTAGTGGTTGCCACCTCTTCCCCAACATAAGAAAATTAGCAGCGGCAACCTCGCTAACAGCAGGGAGACGAAATCAGCCGTCTTGGACGTGCAGGATGGGTCCAAAACCCACTTGGTTATGGAGGCCTTGAGGGCTCTCGCGAAGCGCTGCGCGAAATGTGTTTGTCTTAACGGTGTTTATTTGAATAAATGAACTTTTTGGTCTAATGAGTCGATGCTAGTGTATCTCTCTGCTCCTTCATGGTCGGGCCCGTAGCTTTCTGAACGCCCCTCGTACTGTCATCCTTTTATTTTGGCAAGCAGGTCTTTCTAACTATCGTTGTGTTTCCAGTCCTCGTTAGTTGTCGAACCCTTCAATTGGCGTGGGTCTTCAAAACCGTTCCTGGCCCCGCAGCCGTCTTTTTTAGTCGGCTTGGGCCCTCAAAGCTGTTCCTGTCCCCTTTCAGCACAGCCGTCCTTTTAAGTCGATGTGGGCCTCTTTCAGAATGGCGTGCATTCCTCCGACACTATTGCCTATATAACTGCACGTTTTGTGCATGGCGTCCGCTGTGGACCCAGATTTCCAAAGTTTTTTTTTGTGTTTTTTTAAGATTTCGGTTAGTCTTGTCAATGACCAGGGCGAAAAATAAGTGGCCGAAATCCGATGAGAAAGGCAGATTTGGGGGTACCCTACCGCCCCGTCATATATGGCCAGCCGCCGCCTTTGGGCACTACCAATCATTTTCGGAAAACGACACCCCTGCCGGACACGTGTCCGGAATGACTCCACGTGGTTTTGTTTGCGACTTCCGTCGTTAAAGCTCAACGTTTCGGGTTGCTGTGTTTACGGCTGTGTTAGTTTGCTTGCTGTGTTTACGGTTGTGTTAGTTTGCTGCTCTGTTGGTGCCGCGCTGTTGTGT